CGAGAAAACAAAATGGTAGAGTCTAACGCAATATTCCCAGCAAATGAGAGCACAGGAGTGAAAAAAATCTTGTTTCTGCAAGACTGCACAATTTCTGAGGATGCTTGCAAGCTAAACGTCAGGAGAGAATGCTTCTAGAACATGGCCGTATAGCCCGAAAAGCCTACAACAACCCAAGGTTATATATTCCTGGTCAGGTTTACATGTGTTAGCCAAACTGGACTTTAAAAAATATCTCCCAGATTCGACTCCTTTCTGCAGAAAGTAAGAATAAAGGCTATGGTTGATTTCCTATGTTCGGAGTGGTTTTTTTCCCTCTTGGAACTAGTGAATATCACTAACATTTGTTATAATTCTATTGTGTCCAGTTGTGATTAGATCAGTGGTTCCCAACCTTTTTTTGACCAGGGACCACTCTCCAACATTAGTACCAAAAGGGTGACACTGTCAACTTTAGATTCAGTTTGGTTATGTGAGGTGCTGATTCAGAAAATTGCATTGGATAGATGACACGCTCTACGTTCTGATACAGAACATATGCCATCCAGTAGTCGCCATCTGCTGGTCCACAGAAAACCATATTTAATATCTAGAGCTGATGTGGTCTATCCAAGGGGTCGGGACGGGTCAATGACAGGGAAGGAGTGGCAGGCAATATGAAAGGAGTGGAAATAAAATAAAATAAAGAGGAAGGAGGTTCCAGATTTCCGTCCTCGCGGCCCACAGGTTAAGAACCACTGAGTTGGATGAAGGCTTCTTTGCAACAATGCACCCTATGCATGGTCTGCCGCTTACTTATCAACTTTAGAGATGTTAAGGAACAGTTATACTCAGGAAGAAGACTCCACAGATGCTTCATAACAGACATGTTTATTGGAGAATATATTTCTGAATTCGAACCGAGAAGCATGAAGGACACTCCAGCTCAATCTACTAACGTTCCCAAAGGCCTCTTTATGCGCTGGAAGTGGAAGTGGCTCAGAAACTTTTATAATCTGAAGAAAGAATGAGAGAATTGATCACAATGACATGAGAAGATGGAGCAAAGACTCAGTCTAGCAGTAACCAGATACAAGTCATTAATAATCATTTCTTATTTTTACATAATGAAGGAATAATCTTTGAGGGGTATTACTTTTTTCATGTCAGAAGTGCCTTGAGAAACTGCAAATCACTTCTGGTGTGAGATAATTGGCCATCTGTAAGGATGTTGCCCAGGGAATGCTTGGATGTTTTGCTATCCTATGGGAGGCTTCTCTCATGTCCCCACATAGGAAGCTGGAGCTGACAGAATGGAGCTCACCCCATCTCGTGGATTTGAACCGCCGACCTTCAGGTCAGCAGTGCAGCCGGCATAACGGTTTAACCCATTGCACCACTGTGGCTCCTAGAAGTATTACTGAAAAGAGCATAGAATATATTCCTCAATTTGACATATTAGAAATGTCTTTCAGAAGACACATATAGGAGATCAGTACTGGAGAAACGAACTATTTTTTGGTTCAAAAGAAATAAAGTCCAGATCAGTGGAATTGGATGTTAGAAGTGTTACCCTTGTAAATACATTGTGGAATTGGGCATAGAAACAAAAAATGGAAACATTGACAAATTCCTGTGCCATTCTATCATATGAGTCCCACTTTGCTTGTTTTGTTTTAATTTAATTTAATTCCTGAGTGTTGACCGGGCCGATTGCAGAACTGTTGACATGAAATCTTTGGAAATCTTGTAAAATGCAAGAAAAAGCTACTCTCCCTGGAACAGCATACCTTCCAGCTTTCCCGGGTTGATCAAGAACAGTTCCAGTTAGTTTAGTACTGTCCCACTTTCTTAGCTGCATTTAAAATCATAGAATCATAGAATCATAGAATCAAAGAGTTGGAAGAGACCTCCTGGGCCATCCAGTCCAACCCCATTCTGCCAAGAAGCAGGAATATTGCATTCAAATCACCTCTGACAGATGGCCATCCAGCCTCTGTTTAAAAGCTTCCAAAGAAGGAGCCTCCACCACACTCCGGGGCAGAGAGTTCCACTGCTGAACGGCTCTCACAGTCAGGAAGTTCTTCCTCATGTTCAGATGGAATCTCCTCTCTTGTAGTTTGAAGCCATTGTTCCGCGTCCTAGTCTCCAAGGAAGCAGTAAACAAGCTTGCTCCCTCCTCCCTGTGGCTTCCTCTCACATTTATACATGGCTATCATATCTCCTCTCAGCCTTCTCTTCTTCAGGCTAAACATGCCCAGCTCCTTAAGCCGCTCCTCATAGGGCTTGTTCTCCAGACCCTTGATCACTTTAGTCGCCCTCCTCTGGACACATTCCAGCTTGTCAATATCTCTCTTGAATTGTGGTGCCCAGAATTGGACACAATATTCCAGATGTGGTCTAACCAAAGCAGAATAGAGGGGTAGCATTACTTCCCTAGATCTATACACTATGCTCCTATTGATGCAGGCCAAAATCCCATTGGCTTTTTTTGCCGCCACATCACATTGTTGGCTCATGTTTAACTTGTTGTCCATGAGGACTCCAAGATCTTTTTCACAAAATGTCCCAGTTTCTCTCTCTTCTCCCACTTTCCTCTGAGTCTTTGGCTTCTTTCAATTGCCTAGTTCAAGCTGTACAAGTAGTTTACTCAATGAACATAATAGGAGGCAGAGGAGAGGGGAGAAATGGTGTTGGAGAAATGGATGAGAGAGTTGTCAAAAAGTAGGTTATCAAAAAGAGAAAGACATCTGTATTTTAATGTTTGGGGAAGGACCTAAAGAAGAGTTTTACCTCTGCACATATGATTGCAATCTTCCACACTTCCAAAGAGGTTATTGTTGCCCTGACAGCCACTATACATGAGTGGCAGGCACCTCTTGCTGTTAAAGTCGAAGTAAAAATGAGGAATGGACGCAGTGCACGGGCCTGGGTCTTTCTTCAGTGTACACATTTCAGGCCAAGTTCCTTGGGTAGGTGGTATTTGAAGACAGGAAAAACAAATGAAAATATTTCTATAGGATATGATAACACATAACAGGGACAGACTCAATTACCTGTATCACTATAATTTATATTTACATGCAATTAGCAGAGAGCATGCATTTGAAGATTGATGGTGGAATGAGTGTATAGAACAGTGTTTCTCAACCTGGGGGTCAGGACCCCTGAGGGGGTCACAAAGGGGTGTCAAAGGGGTCGCCAAAGACCATCAGAAAACACAGTATTTTCTGATGGTCATGGGGATTCCATGTGGGAAGTTTGAGCCAATTATATCGTTGGTGGAATTCAGAATGTTCTTTGATTGTAGTGAACTATAAATCCCAGCAACTACAACTCCCAAAAGTCAAGGTCTATTTTCCCCACACTCCACCAGTGTTCACATTTGCACATATTGAGTATTTGTGCCAAGTTTGGTCCAGATCCACCATTGCGTGAGTCCAGTGCTCTCTGGATATAGGTGAACTACAACTCCCAAACTCAAGGTCAATGCCCACCAAACCCTTCCAGTGTTTTCCGTTGGTCATGGGAGTTCTGTGTGGCAAATTTGGTTCAAATCCATCGCTGGTGGAGTTCAGAATGCTCTTTGATTATAGGTGAACTATAAATCCCAGCAACTACAACTCCCAAATTACAAAATCAATCCTCCCCCACCCACTAGCATTTACATGTGGGTGCATTGGGTATTTGTGCCCAGTTTGGTCCAGTGAATGAAAATACATCTTGCATATCTGATATTTATATTATGATTCATAACAGTAGTAAAATGACTGTTATGAAGTAGCAACAAAAACGTTATGGTTGGGGGTCACCACAACATGAGGGACTGTATTACGGGGTCACGGCATTAGGAAGGTTGAGAAACACTGGTATAGAATATTGTAAACACTAGAATGCAGCATTCTTCACATACTGAAATATGTGTACAATCAAAAAGGAATTATTAAGACCCGATGTACCCCTGATACCAACTGCTGCTCTGGGCCAGAGTGAAGAGAGAGGCCTGATATTTATTATTTATACATTCCCTACAATTTTCATCTTCCTTTTTTTTTACATGGTTTAGAAGTGGTTCCCAACTCTCGATAAAGATTTGTTGTTGTTTTTTCTTTGTTCATCATTGCTAATTTGTCAATTTCTGCTATTTAACCATCCATTCTTCTTCCTGAACTGTGCATATACTTTTCTTGCTGCTATTATCGTGTAGTGCAATACTTTGTAGTTTAATTATTTTGTTTGATTATTTGACATTTCCAATAAAATGGGGTCCAATTGTATCTTTGTATGAAATGTTTCCTGCAGTGTTTTTTGAACCTTGTCCCAGAAGCCTCTTGCTTTTTTGCAGGACCACCACATGTGGAAGGAAGTTCCTTCTTGTTCTTTACATTTCCAGCATTTGTTGTTCCTTCCCTTAAACATTTTAGCTCGTTTTGCTGGGGTCAGGTACCACCTGTTCATCATTTTAATTTTTAAAAAGTATCTAAGGTCATTGCACCAAATCTTCTTTAAGCCAATACGAGGGTTGAATGAAAATTAATGCCTCCACCTTCCTTTCTTGGGTTTGGATGGGGATATTTTAATAAATCAAACACAGAAATAATTCTTAGAATGTGCTCTTTAACTACCATTATTCACTTTTCCACATAATCACCAGACAATTGGATACATTTCTGACAACACTGAACAAGTTTTCTGAAGCTGTCACAGAAGAAGTCGACACTATGTTTCAGCAAACCATCGTGCACAGATCTACCGATAGCCAAGCAAAACAATATTGTGACCCACACATTCTTGTGAAATGCCGATTATGCTTGAAATTTCCCTCTCAGTGATACAACGATTGTCCTAAATCAATCTGTCAACCTCTTGCTTGTGAAACTCAGTGGTTGCTGTCACAGGACATCCAACTCTTTGGTTGTCATGCAAGTCAGATGTTCCCACCTCAACATCTTTAAACTTACTCCCTCAATGACACACAGTACTCATATCAACACAATCACCACAAACAACTTGCATTCTCTGATGAATCTCCTTTGGGGTGACATCTTCTGCTATCAAGAATTCAATGACTGCACGTTGCTTAAGTCACATTGACCGACCATCTGCACAGGGTTCCATACTTCGCGCCCTTCCACGATGCAGATTCTTGGCTCAAGGCTATGGTATCCTGGGAATTGCACTTTTTGGCAGAAAGAGGAAAACCTTGTAAAACTGAAAAAATCTCATGCCTTATCATTCAGCCATGACAGTTAGAACAGTGTCAGAGTGAGTCAGTTCTACAGGATAGATGCACCCTGAGGAGTTTTTTCTCCTTCTTCTTCTTCTCCATGGCATGTCTCAGCATGTAGAATTGAATGCACTCAATACTTAAACTGCTATGGCTCAATGTTATGGGATCATAGGAGCTGTGGCATAAAAATTATCTAGCCGTCTCCACCAGAGTGCTAGTGATTTAGGCCCCATCTACACTGGCAGTGTTGATTCAGATAATCCAGTTCAAAGCAGAACAACAAGAAGCTCCCCCGTTCCCAGATAATGATCACCCTGTGTTGTACACAAAAAAGGACTAGATTATGCCCAGTAACATGAGTAGTGTTTCGGGGAGTTTCGGGGTACGGTGTCATCTGTACGCAGATGATGTCCACCTCTGTCACTCCTTTCCACCTGCTACTAAGGAGGCTGTCCAGGTCCTGAACCGGTGCTTGGCCGCTGTGACGGTCTGGATGAGGCGAACAAATTGAAATTGAATCCAGACAAGACAGAGGTACTCCTGGTCAGTCGCAAGGCCGAACAGGGTATAGGGTTACAGCGTGTGTTGCAGGGGGTCGCACTCCCCTGAAGGCGCAGGTTCGCAGCTTGGGTGTGATCCTGGATTCATCGCTGAGCCTGGAACCCCAGGTCTCAGCGGTGACCAGGGGAGCATTTGCACAGCTTAGGCTCGTGCGCCAGCTGCGCCCGTGCCTTGGGAAGTCTGACTTGGCCATGGTAGTCCACGCTCTGGTTACATCCCGCTTAGACTACTGCAACGCTCTCTACGTGGGGTTGCCCTTGAAGACGGCCCGGAAGCTCCAACTGGTCCAACGTGCGGCAGCCATGATACTAACAGGAGCGGGGCGCAGGGAGCATACAACCCCCCTGCTGTACCAGCTCCACTGGCTGCCGATCTGCTACCGGGCTCAATTCAAGGTGCTGGCTTTGGCCTATAAAGCCCTAAACGGTTCCGGCCCAAGATACCTAACTGACCGCCTCTCGGCCTATGAGCCCACGAGGACTTTGAGATCTTCCGGGGAGGCCCTGCTCTCGATCCCGCCTGCGTCACAGGCACGGCTGGCGGGGACGAGAGATAGGGCCTTCTCGGTGGTGGCTCCTCGGCTGTGGAACACCCTTCCCGTGGACATCAGGCTAGCTCCTTCCCTGTTGACATTCCGCAGGAAGTTAAAGACCTGGCTGTTTAAGAAGGCATTTGAACAAGAAGTGCAATGACTGGTAATTTGACCATAGGAATGGAACAACGGAAATGATATCGGATTGTGGGTTTGACGATGAGACGACTCGGAATGGCTTTTGTAGTAATGTTGATGTTTTGATGAGATGTTTTCTGATAATGATGAATTGTGGATTATTTTACACTATGTTTTGTATTTTGCACCTGTTTTTCTATGTTGTACACCGCAATGAGTCGCCCTTGGGCTGAGAATTGCGGTATATAAGCGAAGTAAATAAATAAATAAATAAATAAATAAATAGTGCTAGAAGCCAGCTGGAAGAGACCCATGGTTTTTCATGGTGGACATGATGTCTGGAGACAGTCTTGATATGATAGTCTCAGCATCAGAGGCATGGATTTCACCCAACATCGCAAGCCACCATTTCCAAAACCACCCCCAAGATCACAAGCTCAAGCTAAGACTGTGATCTTAGTGCCATTTAAACCAAGTTAGGATGGTTTTTGATTAAATAGAATTGATTTCTTTTGAAGCACCTTCACAGACACCCCATAAACCAGCTGAGGGCTGGAGCAGTGATCACAGAGATGTGCTTAGTGTGGAATTGTTGATCAATCCGAATACTGGATTTTCCCCCCTCCTTCCCTCATTTGGCAATATGCGCTGATGGGAAGCATTCAGTCCAATAGGAATCAGAGCTAGAGCAAGACACCAACAAAGGGTCTTTATAATATTATAATGTAATGCAATGTAATACTATTAATAATAATAATATGATATTATAATTATATATTTATATAACATGTAATATTACTAATAGTTAGTTAGTTAGTTAGGCGATCCCTCGTTGGACGAGTAAGATGGTCTTCCATGATGGGTTTCCTTGTGGGTCCGTATGTGGCTGTGGAGCCCTATTCTTGCTCTGCATCTTCTTCCGCAGTGAGGGCATTGGTTTCCAGGTGGAAGGCAGTCCCGGTTGGGGTTGGCTTGATGCGCCTTCCTCTTGGCACGTTTCTCTCTTTCACCCTCCACTTGTGCCTCCTCAAATTCTGCAGCACTGCTGGTCACAGCTGACCTCCAGCTGGAGCTCAAGGGCCAGGGCTTCCCAGTTCTCAGTGTCTATGCCAGAGTTTTTAAGGTTGGCTTTGAGCCCATCTTTAAATCTTACTAATTATTAATTACTAATTATTACTAAATATTACTAATAATATTACAATATAATTGGTATAGTACAATATAGCAATATTTAAAACTGATATTGTACTATGCTAGTAATATAATATATTGTATGTATATATACTTTGTAAGCCGCTCTGAGTCTCCGGTGAGAAGGGCGGCATATAAATGTCATAAATAAATAAATAAGGGGCAGAAAGTAGATGTTCCCATGGGAACTCTGTAGTTTTCTCTTCGGGAGGGAGGTGTTTGTTTATCTTCCGACAACCAGTTTCTACTCATAAATACCTCAGTGCTGACCCTGTCCTCACAAGCGCTCCAGATTTTGATCTTGGGTACAGCCTCTGCATCAACTATACACTGATCACCCACAGTGGATTTTATGGCATATTTATGAATTTCTGGTGAGTTTTTCTGGTTGTGTGTATGTTGCAGTGCACGTTGGGGGTTACATTTTGTAGATATCCCAACTTCAAGATGGTTTCAAACTTAGTTTCATTGTCTGTGTGGAACCACCCCAACTCAGGAAGGGAGATGGTTGAGCAGCAGTAGGTGTAGTACACTAACAGAATCCCTAATCCTCCCCGGCCACCCAATTCCAAATAAACATACTCAAAATATACTCATACCCTACAGACTGAGGGATAGGGTACCCTCCCCTCATCTCTAGTTCCAGTATGCCTTGAAATTAAAAAAAAAGAAAGAAAGAAAATAACTGGATAAGAGAAATGCAACATTGCAGAAGGAATTATCATACCAGAAAACAGTCCAAGACAAAAGAATGTTGTTTAGGTTTTTCAAATCCTACTACAACCTCATAAAGCATTTGCCTTCCCTGGAAAGGTTTTTTTAAGGCATGGCCAGACTTACCGGGCCATAGGAGTTGCGGTGCAGGACGTTCCCCACCGCCATTCTTGCCTGGGGGGGCTTCTTCCTCCCAGAAGCCCCCCCCCCCCGATGGCGGGAAGGTTTCCCGCCGGTCGGGGGCTAGGGGCCAATCAGGTGACTGGCCACACCCATCACAGGTGAGGCCGGAGCTGGCCTCTCCCCCCTCGGGGGCAGCCTTCTTAAGGCTGCGCTGGGCTCCCCGGCAGGCACTCGGCCTGCAACAGCCGAGTGAAGAGGAAGAGTTATTTTGTTGTTCTGGAAAGAATATGGAAATGTAGGTACCGCCTATGCGGGGAGGCTAATTTAACTAATTTACGATGCCATAAAAATCTCCAGCAAGCCTGCAAAGAATGAGGAAGTACTTCATTAGTGTCACAAATGGAGGGTGAAGCGACAGCTCCCCTAGTGGCCAGAATACCCTCATGGAAAAAGTTAAATTGCCTCTGTGTCTGTCTATATATGTTGTGTATCTATGGCATTGAATGTTTGCCATGTATATGTACATTGTAATCCGCCCTGAGTCCCCTGCATGGTGAGAAGGGCGGAATATAAATACTGTAAATAAATAAATAAATAAATAAATAAATAAATAAATAAAAATATGGAAAAGCACTTAACTCTTACCATATTGCTGGCATTCCTGCCTGCACTCTTTCATAGTCTCAAAGTTATTATTATTGCCTAGGCAACCTCCATAAATAAATGGAGCACACATTCTTCTTTCAGTGTCATAGTAAAAACGGCGAACAGATGAAGAGCACCATCCTACGGATTTATGCAACGAACATCTTGTTGGCAAACGGTCTGGAGGAGTGCAAGGGCATGAAAAAGGGAAAAAAAAGTCAAGATTGATATAAAATATGAACATCACATGGATAAAGACAGTCACAGGGGGCATGTGCCATTTTATAGTAAACTAGCCGTCCCCTGCCACGCGTTGCTGTGGCCCAAATGGGGGTTCTGTGTGGGAGGTTTGGCCCAATTCTATCATTGGTGGGGTTCAGAATGCTCTGAGATTGTAGGTGAACAATAAACCCCAGCAAGTACAACTCCCAAATATCCTGATTCTATTCTCCCCAAACTCCACTAGTGTTCAAATTTGGGCATTTTGAGTATTCGTGTAGAGTTTGGTCCAGATCCATCATTGAGTCCACAATGATCTCTGGATGTAGGTGAACTACAACTCCAAAACCAAAGGATATTGCCCACCAAACCCTTCCAGTATTTTCTGTTGGTCATGGGAGAACTGTGTGCCAAGTTTGGTTCAATTCCATCATTGGTGGGGTTCAGAATGCTCTGAGATTGTAGGTGAACAATAAACCTCTGAGGATGCTTGCCATAGATGCAGGCAAAACGTCAGGAGAGAATGCCTCTAGAACATGGCCATATAGCCCCAAAAAACCCTACAACAACCCAGTGATTCCGGCTATGAAAAACTATCTATTGTTTTAAACTGTTATTATATTGTTGTTTGTTTGTATGTGAGCCATCCTGAGTCCTCCTTCCAGGGTTGAGAAGGATGGGGTAGAAATATTCGAAATAATAAATAAATAAATAAATAAACAAACAGCAGGAACATGAACAGTTCTGGTCTCAAGCATGGGAGTAAAGACAACAACCCTTATTTTTCTTAAAAGTAGTGTGAGGGGTGGGGGCTTACCTCAGTTTCCTTCCCTGGCAAAAAGACTGCCCACCCCAATACAAACCCATGCCTTTTTCTATCATGTAGATGGGGTATTGCATTATTACAGCATTATTAGAGCTAGAATAGAATATAAATAATGTAAAAATGGATAGGCAATATAAAATTGGTCACCCAGGTTGCAGAAAAGTCAGTTATTTTTCCTACCCATGTTTTCACAGCTGAGAAGACAGTCCAGCAGCGTTACGAACCTATTCTGATTGCCTCCACAGCCAAAAAAAGTGAAAGGCTTACATCGCTTACTTCTTATGTCAAAGTAATACTGTTCAAACCTTCCATTGCAACGTCCCTGGTGTTTTCTCAGTTGGCACTTTGGAGGGTAAGAAACTAGGGGGAGGAAAGAGAAAAGAAATTTATATCAATATTGTCTCAGAAAAAGTCCCAGAATATTATGATATAATATAATATTATTATTATATTATGATATGATATAATGATAATATTATGATATCATATAATATTAAAGTATAATATAATATTATTAGGAACCTCCGGTGGCGCAGTGGGTTAAACCACTGAGCTGCTGAACTTGTTGACCGAAAGGTTGCAAGTTCGAATCCAGGGAGCGGCGTAAGCTCTCGCTATCAGCCCCAGCTTCTGCCAACCTAGCAGTTCAAAAACATGCAAATGAGAGTAGATCAATAGGTACCGCTCTGGCGGGAAGGCAACGGCGCTCCATGCAGTCATGCCGGCCACATGACCTTGGAGGTGTCTATGGACAATGCTGGTTCTTCGGCTGAGAAATGGAGATGAGCACCACACCCCTGAGTCGGACACGACTGGACTTAATGTCAGGGGAAAACCTTTACCTTTACCATATTATGACAAATAGGAAGCAAAAAGCAGTGCTGTAGGATATGATCGGGCTCAGAACAATGGTCTTTCTTTTTTGCACCACAACTGAGATATGTGCAGTGTTCATAGGAAATTTTTCATGGTTTTTTTCCCCAAACATTCTATATCTGTCTGCCACTAGTCCGGTCCGTTTGTCAAATTTTAAACTCCTGTTTCCAAAAGTTTGCCCTTGCCTGACATATATACATTATATATAATATGATATGATATAATCTATATAAATAGGAGCACCCGGTGGCGCAGTGGGTTAAACCCCTGTGCCGGCAGGACTGGAGACCAACAGGTCGCAGGTTCAAATCTGGGGAGAGGCAGATGAGCTCCCTCTATCAGCTCCAGCTCCTCATGCAGGGACATGAGAGAAGCCTCCCACAAGGATGATAAAAACATCAAATCATCCAGGCGTCCCCTGGGCAACGTCCTTGCAGACGGCCAATTCTCTCACACCAGAAGTGACTTGCAGTTTCTCAAGTTGCTCCTGACACGACAAAAAAAATCTATATAAATAAAAATGTAATGTTCATTTGTGGGATTAACACAACTCAAAAACCATGAATGAATTGACACCAAATTTGGACACAAGACACCTCTCAGGCCAACGAGTGTCCATCACCCCTAAAAACACACAAATAAACAGTAGAATAGACTTTAAAAAAAACCCAAAATAAACCATATATGCATATACACATACGTTCATACACATATACACAAGCACACATACATACAGACATACACATATATATGCACGCACACACATATACACACCTACATATACACCTACACACACATATACACAATATATACACATATAAACACAGAATTATACATATACACATGCACACATAGAGACAGACACACACACATATATGCAAGCACACACAAATATACACATATATACACACACATATACACACATACCTGCATATACACAAGCACACTTATATACACAATATACATATACACATATAAATAGAAATACACAAATATATACGCGCATATATACACACAAACACACATATATACACATAGGTAAAGGTAGTCCCCTGACATTTTGTCCAGTCATGTCTGACTCTGGGGTGTGGTGCTCATCTCCATTTCTAAGCCGAAGAGCCAGCATTGTCCGTCGACACCTCCAAGGTCATGTGGCCGGCATGACTGCATGGAGCGCCCTTACCTTCCCGCCGGAGCGGTATCTATTCATCCACTCACATTTGCATGTTTTCGAACTGTTAGGTTGGCAGAAGCTAGGGCTGACAGGGAAAGCTCACGCCGCTTCCCGGAATCGAACCTGCGACCTTTCGATCAACAAGCTCAGCAGCTCAGTGCTTTAACCCACTGCACCACTGGGGGCTCCATCACCCCTAAAAACACACAAATAAACAGCAGAATGGACTTTAAACCCTCCCCCCCCCCAAAATAAACCATATATACATATACACACACATATATACACATATATACACACACATACACACACATATCTGCATATACACAAGCACACTTATATACACAATATACATATACACATATACATAGAAATACGCAAATATATACACACATATATACACACAAACACACATATATACACATATATACAATTATATACACACAACATTACAACGCATGTGCAAAATCACATATAAGGAAGAAGGGGACTGAGGGTTCGAATCTGCGAATCTGTCAGTCTTCAGTCCTGGCGGCACAGGGGTTTAACCCACTGAAGCAGGCACTTTAAGAGGGAAAGACAGGTTTGATTGCAGAAGTAATAGAGTCTCTTCCATCTCTTTTAAACTGATCACATATTGTATGCATTTGTTCTGTTTCATTGCCTGTGTCTGATATAGTCTGCCAACTTGTTCAGTAAACATTTTACATTTTGATAGATGTCAACAAGCCCCCGGTGGCGCAGTGGGTTGGACCCCTGTGCCGGCAGGACTGAAGACCGACAGGTCGCAGGTTCGAATCCGGGGAGAGGCGGATGAGCTCCCTCTGTCAGCTCCAGCTCTTCATGCGGGGACATGAGAGAGGCCTCCCACAAGGATGATAAAACATCCCCCTGGATGTTTTATCTCCTGGGCAACGTCCTTGCAGACGGTCAATTCTCTCGCAACAGAAGCGACTTGCAGTTTCTCAAGTCGCTCCTAACACGACAAAAAATAATAATGGGGAAAATATAGGGTAAGAGGATTTGGTCAGACCTGAATGACACATGCCAACAAATGTTTGCCACAAACCAGGCACAATATCCAGTTTTCCCTTTTCCCTTCCATTCCCACCTATTTTGCAATGGGGCAAATGGGAGATGGTCTTTCAAGCTAGCAAAGATGGTGCTCTTACCTGGACTGTGGTGATCGGCATACAGTTGTCCAAACCAGGGGACGAGCAATCCCATAGGAAGGAGGATGGGGAAAACAATATTATTGTACAGCATGCTAACTGTTTTATGAGAATGTCCAGCGTGGAACAAAATTACTTTAATATAGACAAAGAGAAAGGCAGAAGGGCATTCAACCAGGCAGAACAATTAGTCCACAAGTAAGGACATTCTGGAATTGGTGGGTTTATTTCAGAATAACTCCTTGTTCTAAAATAAGTTCTATTCCACTCAAACTAGGGCTAAAATGGAGCCATGAAGCTAACCAGCACCACCTGGTTAGCTTCATGGCTCCATGCTAATTTGCAGCCACCTTCTGGCTGGAAGCAAATATGAGGGTTGAATGAAAAGTAATGCCTCTACCTTCGTTACTTGGGTTTGGATGGGAATATTTTAATAAATCAGATGCAGAAATAATCCTTAGAATGTGTTCTTTAACTACCAGTATTCACCTTTCCACATAATCACCAGACAATTGGATATATTTCTGCCAACGATGAACAAGTTTTCTGAAGCTGTCACGGAAGAAGTCAACACTCTTTTTCCGCAACCAGCGTCTCACAGTTCTCTCAATGTCTTCATCAGAAGCATAACAATGTCCCCACGGTTCTTCTTTCATTATTGGGAACAGATGGAAGTCAGATGGTGCTAAATCTGGACTGTATGGAGGATGTCGTACGGTGGTGAGATCCAGTCTCTGAAGTTTCAAGTCTGTGCGCTTTCATTTCAGGCGTCAGCATCCTGGGTACCCATCGTGCACAGATCTTCCGATAGCCAAGCAAAGCAATAATGTGACCCACACGTTCTTGTGAAATGCTGATTATGCTTGAAATTTCTCTCTGAGTGATACGAATCATCCTGAATCAATCTGTCAACCTTTTGCTTGTGAAACTCGGTGGTTGCTGTCACAGGACGTCCAACTCTTTGTTTGTCACGCAAGTCAGATGTTCCCACCTCAACATCTTTAAACTTACTCACCCGACACACAGTACTCACATCAACACAATCACCATAAACAGCTTGCATTCTCTGATGAATCTCTTTGGGGTGACACCTTCTGCTGTCAAGAATTCAATGACTGGGGGCTATAGATCTTAGTGAAAGAAACATGGACGTGGCATCTTTTCCCCAGGGGATTGTTTCTTGCTCTCCTTTAGAGAACTGGAACTCTCAAGGATCAAGACACTATAGATAACTCGAAATAGTATTTATTGTTCACAATGAGTTATCTTTCTTAGGCATAAACTTGATGTTTCAACAGGGGCAAAGAAAGCATACATTACAGTCTCTGGAGTCTTGGGTCCAAGGAGTTTTCCAGCTGAGAAGCTTTCCAGGTTCCCTCTTTCTCAATGGCTGTGAAAGTCGGAACATTCACAACCCCAGTCCAATGACCTATATTTGAAGGCACAAAGTCTTCCTCTTGATGCCAAAGGATTGGTTTGAAGGTGCTTAAGATTCCGCAACGTCATCCAGGGTGAACTGGATATGAAGAATGAATCTTAAGAGTACAAACTTAAGAATTGGTGATAAGAGATGACTTGACTGAGGGCTTTAGAGCCAAGCCTTTCTCACGTCCATCTGCTGAGTTGTTTGATGGTGGAATGAAAAGAAAGCACTGCCCTCTTCCCTGGGAAGGGGTTTAGTCAAACAATTGAGCTGGGGGGGCAATTCAACCGGTGCAAAATAACATTGATTGACAGCTATAGATAACCAAACAATTTAGCTATACATTCACATATAAGTGGGGCCAGACGCACCGTCACAGTGACACCTTCTGCTGTCAAGAATTCAATGACTGCAAGTTGCTTAAGCAGGGTTCCATACTTTGCACTTTGACAACACAACCATTCAATGCTAAGGCTTCCCACCAAAATGGAACTGTAGAGGAGAGTCTACTGAACAAGCCAGTACCTGCCACATACCGGTACTACCATCTGTTGAGGAGTTATGAAGGTGGAGGCATTACTTTTCATTCAACCCTCGTAGTCTAGATTAAATGCTCCTTATCCTGTCTCCCTAAGCTGCTCAGCAATTGCATTTGGTACACATTGTATTATGCTTGTGTACCAAAGCTATCTCCAATAAGGATCTTTAATGGAGGGTCCTCAAACTTAGTAGTCCCCAAAACCAATTTTCCCGAGCAATGCATTTATTTGCATCAGCATAAGGGTGTATAATACCATAACACATATTCAAGAAATAGAATCCACAAAAGACAGGTGAGAAAGTGAGTTTATTAGTCCGCGATCAAGGCCTGGTACATCAGGATGAAAAGTCTTCATGGTTACTCCTAATTCCTTTATTCTGTGCAATCCATTTGCATGTCGGTGAGCCTGAAAACATTATAGGTCTAGGATTATACTGTAGATCTCGAGTTAACCTAAGGACAGAATGAAAACACATCATATTGGTAGAAGAATAAATTTTGATGAGAAGGCGAATACTACTTTCCCCGGGATTGTGGCCAGCTGGCTGAGTGTCAGCTGCATTAAGATCACTCTGACCAAAAAGGTCATGAATTAGAAGTCAGCACGGGTTGGAGTGGGTTTCCAACCAATTGTGTGTAGTTTGTTGTCGACCTTTGCAACCCGAAAGACAGTTGCATCTGTCAAGTAGGAAAATAAGGTACCACCTTAAAGTGTGGGGAGGCTAAATTAACTGATTTATGAGGCCATAAAGAAGACTCCAGCAAAGCATTCCAGCTGCTTTGCTGGAGGAAGCATGCGGGGAATGCGGAAGTGCTTCATCAGCATCACAGATAGGATGATGAAAGCGACAGCTCCCCTGGCGGCCAGAAAAAGTTAAATAGCCTCTGTGTATGTCTGTATATGTTTGTATGTCAAAAATTGGCATTGAATGTTTGCCATATATGTGTACACTGTAATCCGCCCTGAGTCCCCTGCGAGGTGTAAATAAACAAATAATAAATAATTCCCCTTAATGAAAGTTTATTATTTGGGATAGTTTTGTTTAGAAAAAAATGAGATGTGATACACAATAGAAGCAAAACATAAAAGTAAAGAAGGGATAAAGTAGATAGCAGTTTTTCTCTCTCATAACAGAACCCACATTCAGGGTAAAATCAGACTCATAGAATCATAAGAATTGGAAGAGACCTCATGGGCTATCCAGTCGAACCCCATTCTGCCAAGAAGCAGGAAATCGCATTCAAAGCACCCTCAACAGATGGCCATCCATCCTCTGCTTAAAAGCCTCCAAAGAAGGAGCCTCCACCACTCTCTGGGGCAGAGAGTTCCACTGCTAAACAGCTCTCACAGTCAGGAAGGTCTTCTTAATGTTCAGGTGGAATCTCCTTTCCTCTAGTTTGAAGTCATTGTTCTCAGTCCTGATTTGTAGGGCAGCATAAATCAAGCTTGATCCCTCTTCCCTATGACTTCCCCTCACATCTTTATACATGGCCCTCATCATGTCTCCTCTCAGCCTTCTCTGCTCTTGAAGCCGCTGCTCATAGGGCTTGTTCTCCAGACCCTTGATCATTTGAGTCGCCCTCCTCTGGACACATTCCGGCTGGTCAACATCTCCCTTCAAGACATCTTGTCTCAGAGAGATGTTTCAAGGAAAGATGAAAGGGTTTCCCTCTCTCTCAGCTTTACTGATTATGGGCGGGATATAAATAATGTAAATAAATAAATAAATAATCAATAAAGCTGAGAGAGAGGGAAACCCTTTCATCTTTCCTTGAAACATATCTACATATCGGCACAATTCGATGCCATCAATACATACATTCAAAAAGCAAAAACAATTAAGTGCATTTAGACAAAAAAGACGAGGATTTAGACAAAAAAGAGCAATATCCTCTCATTCCAATCCTCATCCGTTTCATCATCTTGGCCGTTCCTGGGTCATTCTCCATCTCAAGCTTGACTATCTATTCCGGGGTTCCGAATGCTTAGGAAAGAGCCAGGTTTTTACTCTCTTCCGAAAAGTCAGGAGGGAGGGGGCTGATCTAATATCCCTAGGCAGGGAGTTCCACAGCCGAGGGGCCACCACAGAGAAGGCCCTGTCCCTCATCCCCGCCAAGCGTGCTTGCGAAGCAGACAGGATCGAGAGCAGATGATCTTAACTTCCTGGAGGGTTCGTAGGAAGAGATGCGTTCGGATAGGTAGGCTGGGCCAGAACCGTTTAGGGCTTTCTTAAATAAACAAAATATTCCTCTTATACCACTGCTATGGAAATGTTATTTCCAGTTGTGAAATTTCATCATCTTGCATAGTATTCCCATAGGGGCGGGGGGGGGGGGGGGAGTAATTTCTTGAAGATATTGAAGGGAAGGGAATTACAGATTTTCAAATAGAATCTTCTATTCTCCCCTATGAACCAACAAGGTTGTTAAGATCTTCGGGAAGGGCCCTGCTCTCGGTCCCACCACCACATTCGCAATCGTGTCTGGTGGGAACAAGAGACAGGGCCTTTTCTGTGGTGGCCCCTTGGCTATGGAACGCTCTCCCAACTGAGATTAGATCCACCCCCTCGCTCCTGACCTTCAGGAAGCTAGTGAAATCATGGCTATGGAAAGAAGCATTCCCGGAATAAGGGCTGAGACCGGCAATAGACTAAAGTTACTGATCACGTATGAGGACCGAACTGGATATGATTTCATCTTGGCGACCTGACTTATATGTTTTAATCTATTTGTATTTTAACCTTTTATTGTCTGTATGATGTTTTAGACTGTATCTGGCACTGAATTTTTGCTGTTAGCCGGTCTGAGTCCCTCTACGGAGGTGGAGAAGATCGGGATATAAAAGTTTTAAATAAATAAATAATATTTCTCAAACTTATGAGCCACTGGTGGCACAGCGGGTTAAACCACTGAGCTGCTGAACTTGCTGACCAAAAGATCGGCAGTTCGAATCCAGGGATCGGGGTGAGCTCCCACTGTTAGATTCAGCTTCTGCCAACCTAGTAGTTCAAAAACATGCAAATGTGAGTAGATCAATAGGTACTGCTTCGGCGAGAAGGTAATGGCGCACAACGCAGTCATATTGGCCACATGATCTATGGACAACACCGGCTCTTCGGCTTAGAAATGGAGATGAGCACCTCCAGAGTTGGATACAACTGCATTACCTGTAAGTAGTTACTTCCAAGCTCTGATATTATCTTTCCATAAATCATGTTAAGAGTTCTTTTGTGTTGTCTGGGGGAAATCTTGTAAACTTCATTGGCCTTACCTCGATTTCCACATTTCCGCATACAGTCTTCTATAGTGCCAAAGTTATTGCCATTGCCATTACAGCCACCAAAATTGAATGGCTTGCAACTCTTTGTTTTGGCATCATAATAAAAACGAGGAAAGCTTGCGGTGCAAAGTCCCACATCTACTGGCAGGTGGCATGTGTCAGGCCTGGTTTCTGGGCAGGAAAGAGGAAAAAGAAGAAATGCAAAGTGAGTCACCACCGAACTCCTTCAGACAGGATTACTGTGCTGAAAGATCATGATACTGGTTGCTGGGGTTCTCATTTTATCTTTCTTTTAAAAAATAGCCAATGTTTCTGTTTCTATTTTGGGCAATCCCTGGCACCAGCTTCAGCTTTTTATTCTCATCCTTGTGTGAGTTTCTTTTAAATACTGAAATATATGGAAATGTGAGTAGATCAATAGGTACCGCTTCGACGGGAAGGTAATGGTGCTCCATGCGCTTTATTATTTCTATATCGAAATAATAAAAAACACTTATTATTCTTATTTCTTTCTTTTTGAAAACATGCTTAGAATTCTAGAGCTACAACACATCAGTGAAATGGTAATTAGTAGGCTTGGTTGATCAAAAAAATGGTTCAAAACTCGTTTCGGATGAAGGGGGGACTGGTGGTTTGATTCTAAAGTCAATTCAGATTTTCACAGAAAAAAATGTTCAAAACTTTTTGAAACTTCCGAGACTTCTGAATCCTTTCGTTAATGGTTTGCAAGTGTTATTTCCTGTTTCATGGGGTGGTCGTTATTTTGAAAGTAGTTGTTTTACTCCAGAAGCGGGCTGGAGTAAAGCAAGCTGAGGAAATTACTTCCTTCTCTGGTTTATAACTGGCTTCTCTGGCTTTAAAATTGGCTTCTCTGGCTTGAGCCAAGGCCAGGAAATTCCTTCTTTCTCTGGTTTAAAACTGGCTTCTCTGACTTTAAAACTGGCTTCTCTGGCTTGAGCTGAGGCCAGGAAATTCCTTCGCTGGTTTAAAACTGGCTTCTCTGGCTCAAGCCGAGGCCAAGAAATTCCTTCCTTCTCTGGTTTAAAACTGGCTTCTCTGGCTCGAGCCGAGGCCAGGAAATTCCTTCCTTCTCTGGTTTAAAACTGGCTTCTCTGGCTTGAGCCGAGACCAAGAAATTTCATCATTCTCTAGTTCAAAACTGGCTTCTCTGGCTTTAAAACTGGCTTCTCTGGCTTGAGCCGAGGCCAGGAAATTCCTTCTTCCTCTGGTTTAAAACTGGCTTCTCTAGCTTGAGCCGAGGCCAGGAAATTCCTCCCATCTCTGGTTTAAAACTAGCTTCTCTGGCTTGAGCTGAGACCAGGAAATGTCTTCCTTCTCTGGTTCAAAACTGGCTTCTCTGGCTTTAAAACTGGCTTCTTTGGCTTGAGCCGAAGCCAGGAAATTCCTTCCTTCTCCGGTTTAAAACTGGCTTCTCTAACTTGAGCCGAGGCCAGGCAATTCCTTCCTTCTCTGGTTTAAAACTGGCTTCTCTAACTTGAGCCGAGGCCAGGAAATTCCTTCCTTCTCTGGTTTAAAACTAGCTTCTCTGGCTTGAGCCGAGACCAGAGACCAGAAGTGGGGAAAAGCAAGCGGAGGAAATTACTTCCTTCTCTGGTTCAAAATTGGCTTCTCTGGCTTTAAAACTGGCTTCTCTGGCTTGAGCTGACGCCAGGAAATTCCTTCCTTCTCTGGTTTAAAACTGGCTTCTCTGGCTTGAGCCAAGACCAGGAAATTTCTTCCTTCTCTGGTTCAAAACTGCCTTCTCTGGCTTTAAAACTGGCTTCTTTGGCTTGAGCCGAAGCCAGGAAATTCCTTCCTGCTCTGGTTTAAAACTGGCTTCTCTAACTTGAGCCAAGGCCAGGCAATTCCTTCCTTCTCTGGTTTAAAACTGGCTTCACTGGTTTGAGCCGAGGCCAGGAAATTCCTTCCTTCTCTGGTTCAAAACTGGCTTCTCTGGCTTTAAAATTGGCTTTTCTGGCTTGAGCCGAGGCCAGGAAATTCCTTCCTTCTCTGGTTTAAAACTGGCTTCTCTGGCTTGAGCCGAGGCCAGGAAATTCCTTCCTTCTCTGGTTTAAAACTGGCTTCTCTGGCTTGAGCAGAGGCAGGAAATTCCTTCCTTCTCTGGTTTAAAACTGGCTTCTCTGGCTTGAGCAGAGGCCAGGAAATTCCTTCCTTCTCTGGTTTAAAACTGGCTTCTCTGGCTTGAGCCGAGACCAGAGACCAGAAGTGGGGAAAAGCAAGTAGAGGAAATTCCTTCCTTCTCTGGTTTAAAACTGGCTTCTCTGGCTCGAGCCGAGGCCAGGAAATTCCTTCCTTCTCTGGTTTAAAACTGGCTTCTCTGGCTTGAGCCGAGGCCAGGAAATTCCTTCCTTCTCTGGTTTAAAACTGGTTTCTCTGGCTTGAGCCGAGGCCAGGGACCAGAAGTGGGGAAAAGCAAGTGGAGGAAATTCCTTCCTTCTCTGGTTTAAAATTGGCTTCTCTGGCTTTAAAACTGGCTTCTCTGGCTTGAGCCGAGGCCAGCGACCAGAAGCAGGGGAAAGGTGAATCATTTCCAACTCACAAAAATGGCGGAAAAAGCTTCGGAAGGGCAAAGGGACTTCTGGTTCTCTTAAAAACTTCAAAATTGCTTCAAAAAGGTAATTTTTCCAACTTTATTCCGAATTACGAAGATTCCGACGGTATCTAACCATGCCTAGTAATTAGGCCCACTCTCTGCACATTATTCATTCCCCCGGCCTGTATTGCTACCATATGAGCCCTGACCAGCCCTTTCAAACTGTCCAACCCCGCATACAAGCGGGGCCATCGGTAACATATTTTGCACATTGGATTATTATGGAATAGGTTTGTTTTAATGCATAGGATTGTGTTAACACATTATGTTTATATTTTAATGGCTGTTCTATATGTTTTATGTTTGGTTGTGGAAACTGCCTGAGTCCCTTGGGGAGATAGAGTATATAAGTAAAGCATTATTATTGTTATTAATATTATTATTATTATTATATTGGAACTAGAATACTGTGCCTCCAAGAAAAACATTAAAAGTGAAGCCAATTTGTCCTTCAGATTGTTTCAGCAAATCGTCCTTATTTTCAGGAGTTTGTGTGTCTTCAAGCAAATCTAGAAAAGCTCATCTCACTTTGTGGAAGGCAGGAAACAGTGTTTTTAAAGTACAACGTTTGTGATTTCTGTAGGTAGAACTTCCAGCTTGTGATAAAACATTTGAATTACCGATAGCTAAAAATCACAACATAAAAAGACTTGCTGGGCTAGGCTGCTACTGTGGTATTAGTTATCTCTCACAATGGATTTAGGCAATTTGCCATTAAGTCTCACATAATGAGAGGTTGGGTTCCATCCCCTCCAACATTTCAAAGACAAAAATGAGGATTATAAATGTCCTCTCCTAAAACACAAATCTCAGGATCCCATGGAATGTTGTCATGTTAATTAAAGTGGAATAATACTACTATACTGTGTTGTGTGAAAGGGACCCTTTGATCGACAGTAAAGAAACAGACAAATATGTTTTGTGTGAGTCAGAACTTGAATTGTGCTGGAGATCAGCCTGAGACTCCTGAGGCTGATGGGTTCACTGGTTATCTAGAGAGGATTGTGGGATTGCCTGTGGGATTTCCTGGGGCTCGAAGTGGTGAAGATGCAAGTCAGGGGAATGATGCTTCTCTCTCTGAGTAATCTGAGTGCAGGGCTTCAAGGTCAGTCAGAGGAGCCAGGAACTGCAACATTAGATAAGGAGTCAGGCAAAGAGATAAATGATACAGAAGGCTATCAGGAGAAAATACCTGGAATTACGGAGATCAACAGAAGTATTAGTTTACAGATCAGAGCAGACAACAGGCATAGTAGGCCAGAGCGATTACGTGGAAAAGTTGGGGAGAGATTTCGAGGGGAAAAAACATGACTTCATGGGTGCCTATTAATTGACAGGTTGTTTACCTAAGAGTTAGTTCAGGCAACACAGCGTTCAAGTATGAAGCTAGGTTCTTGTCTCAAATCAAGCCTTGGTTTTGTATTTAAGTTTCCTGGAAGTTTTCTATGTTCCTGTCTTTATATTCCTGTTCAAGTTTTCATAGAATCATAGAATCAAAGAGTTGGAAGAGACCTCATGGGCCATCCAGTCCAACCCCCTGCCAAGAAGCAGGAATATTGCATTCAAATCACCCCTGACAGATGGCCATTCAGCCTCTGTTTAAAAGCTTCCAAAGAAGGAGCCTCCACCACACTCCGGGGCAGAGAGTTCCACTGCTGAACGGCTCTCACAGTCAGGAAGTTCTTCCTCATGTTCAGATGGAATCTCCTCTCTTGTAGTTTGAAGCCACTGTTCCATTGCGTCCTAGTCTCCAAGGAAGCAGAAAACAAACTTGCTCCCTCCTCCCTGTGGCTTCCTCTCACATATTTTTACTAAGTATATCTTTTGTTTGTGGACTTATACTGTACTTATGACTCTTTGACTATTCCTGGTCTGTGTTATCTTGGGATCTACATGAAACATTTGGATTACTGTTTAGTTATCACCTAATGCTAACCATTTTTTTGTATTATACATCTTTCTTTATTCCTAATTTTTCCTATATTTTATGTGTTTCTACAATAAACTGCTTATACTCTGGACTCTTGTGTGGTGCTGTGGTCATAGGTGTTTCCTGGTCTAGGGTGCAACAAATTGCAAGTATGAATTAACATATAGACAACAGAAAAAGACTACTGCAGAGATTTTACCTGGATTCCATTCAGGGTATTTCGAAAAGTCAGGATTTCCTATGGTAAAGTTAAGAAAATCAGCCACTGAGTGGGACGATTGTGGTTTGACTGGAGATGCTTAATTCTAAACTCAAGAAAAACTAAATAGAAGAAAATGGAGGATTGATTTTGCAGACACTACAGTATTTTTGCAAATTGAAATTCCCATCCCGAACTGCTGTTGAATAAATGTTACAATGTATTGTCGAAGGTTTTCGTGGCTGGAATCACTGGGTTATTATAGGTTTTTTGGGCTATATGGCCATGTTCTAGAACAGTGTTTCTCAACCTGGGGGTCGGGACCCCTGGGGGGGGTTGCGAGGGGGTGTCAGAGGGGTTGCCAGAGACCATCCAAAAACATTGTATTTTCTGTTGGTCATGGGGGTTCTGTGTGGAAAGTTTGGCCCAATTCTATCATTGGTGGGGTTCAGAATGCTCTTTGACTGTAGGTGAACTATACATCTCAGCAACTACAACTCCCAAATGTAAAGATCTATTTTCCCCCAAACTCCACTCAGTGTTAACATTTGGGCATATTGTGTATTTGTGCCAAGTTTGGTCCAGATCCATCATTGTTTGAGTCCACAGTGCTCTCTGGATGTAAGAGAACTACAACTCCAAAACCCAGGGTCAATGCCCACCAAACCCTTCCAGTATTTTCTGTTGGTCCTGGGAGCTCTGTGTGCCAAGTTTGCTTCAATTCCATCATTGATGGAGTTCAGAATGCTCTTTGATTGTAGGTGAACTATACATCTGAGAGTTAAAAGAGACCCCAGAGGCCATCCCAGATGACAAAATCAACTACAACTCCCAGTTGACAAAATCAATCTCTCCCCACCCCATCGGTATCCAAATTTGCGTATATTGGATATTTGTGCTGAATTTGGTCCAGTGAATGAAATTACATCCTGCATATCAGATATTTATATTATTATTCTTAATTGGAGTAAGATTACAATTATGAAGTAAGAACACAAATAATTTTATGATTGGGGGTCACCACAACATAAGGAACTGTATTAAGGGGTCACGGCATTAGGAAGATTGAGAACCACTGTTCTAGAAGCATTCTCTCCTGACGTTTTACCTGCATCTATGGCAAGCATCCTTGCCATAGATGTAGGCGAAACGTCAGGAGAGAATGCTTCTAAAAAAACCGAAAAACCTACAACAACCCAATGTTACCATATTTTGGAAAACATAACCTAAGACTGGAGTTCAGAAAGTTACTTTTTTAAAAATCAGTGTTGCCTTTATAGTGTTCTCTTCTAAAATAGTTGCTTACCGCCAAGGCCAGATTAAGGCATGCTCATGATGACCTAAGTCAAGTCATGTCAAATCCACAGCTTGGGAAAATTACCGTATATACTCGGGTATAAGCCGGCCCGAATATAAGCCGAGGCACCTAATTTTACCACAAAAAACTGGGAAAATGGATTGACTCGAGTATAAGCCGAGGGTGGGAAATGCAGCAGCTAGTGATACATTTCAAAATAAAATTACATTAATTGAGGCATCAAGAGGTTAAATGTTTTTTGAATATTTAAGATAAGACTGCCCAACTCTGTTTCAATTCATTCTGACCTTCTTCAATGTAAATGTGCTTGTGTATCCTTCCAATAAAAATAAATACATTAAAATAATAAAGGTAATAATAATAATAGAGTAATATAACGGAAATGTAATATTAACAATAATAAATAGAATAAAATAATAAATGCAATAATAATAATAAAGTAAAATAATACATTTTAATAATAATAATAATAATAATAAAGCATTTATGATCTATATAAATAAAAATGTAATGTTTGTTTGTGGGATTAACAGAACTCAAAAACCACTGGAAGAATTGACACCAAATTTGGACACAAGACACCTAATAACCCAATGTATGTCCTTCACTCATAAAAACATGGAAAAATACAGCAGAAGAGAATTTAAAAGCCAAAAAGAGACAGAGCATTGCTTTTCCTTACCAAATGGTTCACATTGCTGAGCACACTGCCTGTGGGTCACAAAATTGTTGTCGTTGCCCGCGCAACCACTATACATGAAGGGTCTACATCGTTTGTTTTTGAAATCATAATAATAGCGAGGTAATTTATTTCTGCACCATCCTATCTTCCGTCTGAGTTTGCATAATGGAGATGTATCTGGAGGGGAAAATGAAGAGGAGGGGACACAAGGTTGAAATGCAGCATCTATCCTTCTTACATGTATAGATGTCACTGCTGTGTAAAAGTGTTGGATCTCTGAGCAGGGACAGATTGCTATTGCGGTGCATGGTTCACACATAAATGGGAGAGAGAAAGAGGGAAAACAATACATTACCAGGACTGTGGCGCAGCTGTCTGAGTGTCAGCTGCATTAAGATCACTTCTGACCAAAAGGTCATGAGTTCAAAGCCAGCCCAGGTTGGAGTGAGCTTCCGACCAATTGTGTAGCTTGTTGTCGACCTTTGCCACCAGAGAGACAGTTAAATCTGTCAAGTAGGAAAATTAAGTACCCCCTATGTGTGGGGAGGCTAATTTAACTACTTTACGAGGCCATAAAAAAGACTCCAGCAAAGCACTCCAGCAAAAGCATGCGGGGAATGCAGAAGTACTTCATCAGTGTCGCAGATGGACGATGAAAGCGACAGCTCCCCTGGCGGCCAGAAAAACTTAAATAGCCTCTGACTGTCTGTCTATATATGTTGTGTGTCTTTGGCATTGAATGTTTGCCATATATATGTACATGGTAATCTGCCCTGAGTCCCCTGCGGGCTGAGAAGGGTGGAATATAAATAATGTAAATAAATAAATAAAATTATGACAAACATAAGGTACAGGTAAAAGTTTTCCCCTGACATTAAGTCCAGTCGTGTCTGACTCTGGGGTGTGGTGCTCATCTCCATTTCTAAGCCAAAGAGCTGGCATTGTCCATAGACATCTCCAAGGTCATGTGGCCGGCATGACTACATGGAGCGCCATTATCTTCCCGCCGGAGCGGTACCTATTGATCTACTCACATTTGCATGTTTTTGAATTGCTAGCTTGGCAGAAGCTGGGGCTAACATTGGGAGTTCACTCCACTCCCCAAATTTGAACCTGCAACCTTTCAGTCAGGAAGTTCAGCAGCTCAGGACTGCACCACTGGGTCCTCCAAACATATCACATCACTAAAGTCAGATTAATGATAGACTTGCTAGGGCTCGGTCACTTCCAAATATTTTTTTGTATATATCAAAGGAATAGATTGGGTTGTTGTAGGTTTTTCGGGCTATATGGCCATGTTCTAGAAGCATTCTCTCCTGACGTTTCACCTGCATCTATGGCAAGCATCCTCAGAGGTTGTGAGGTCTCATAACCTCTGAGGATGCTTGCAATAGATGCAGGTGAAACGTCAGGAGAGAATGCTTCTAGAACATGGCCATATAGCCCGAAAAACCTACAACAGCCCAGTGATTCCAGCCATGAAAGCCTTCGACAATACAAGGAATAGATTTTTTTTATAGAAGCATAGAATAATTGAGTTGGAAGAGACCTCATGGGCCATCCAGTCCAACGCCCTGCCAAGAAGCAGGAGAGTTGCATTCAAAGCACCCCCGACAGATGGCCATCCAGCCTCTGTTTAAAAGCCTCCAAAGAAGGAGCCTCCACCACACTCCGGGGCAGAGAGTTCCACTGCTGAACAGCTCTCCCAGTCAGGAAGTTCTTCCTAATGTTCAGGTGGAATCTCCCTCCTCCCTGTGACTTTCTCTCACATACTTATACATGGCTATCATGTCTCTTCTCAGCCTTCTCTTCTTCAGGCCAAACATGCCCAGCTCTTTAAGCCGCTCCTCATAGGGCTTGTTCTCCAGACCATTTTAGTCGCCCTCCTCTGGACACATTCCAGCTTGTCAACATCTCCCTTCAATTGTGGTGCCCAGAACAGGACACAGTATTCCAGATGTGGTCTAACCAAGGCAGAATAGAGGGAAAGCATGATATTTTTTTTATCTCACTCCATGTACAGAAACCAACTAGACCAGTAATGAAACTGGAATAAAATTCTCTAGTAAAAAGGCAGCATGCTCTCCTTCACCCGAGGGCAACAGAATTAAAGAAGTCACCTGGCCTGGGCAGCCTTGCCTGTTTTGTCTCTCTTATCGTCTCCTTTCATCTCATGCTTGAGCCAGTTCTGTGTACAAAGGGCTTGCTGAAGATATTTACGTACTTATGTGTGGAGTCATAAATGGATAACCTGAAATTCTGTTTTGGTCTTTGGCATAGGAAGAGGAGAAAGCTGCCATGCCTTGTGCTTCATTCCTTTATAGTAGCTATAGGTGGCCTGGTACCTTCCAAATGATATGAGCCACAGTTCCCATCAAACAGTAAGGCAGCAATAGCTCCAAACATTCAAAGCCTGGTATCCTTACTTAGCTAGGTAATCCCTTGTTGTCCGAGTAGGATTGTCATCCAAGATCGGTATACTCCGTCGCCAGTCTTACAACGGTGGATCCGCGCTACTGGTACTTCTCGACCTTACCACAGCATTTGACACCGTCAACTACGATCTAATGATTCACCGTCTTGCCATGTCCGGAGTTCATGGTCAGGCCCTCAATTGGTTCAACTCATTTCTCCGGAACCGGAGTCAACACGTGGAGTACACGGATCAAGTCTCCGATAGATTCCCCCCTCCTATGTGAGGTCCCCCAAGGTGCAATTCTCTCTCCTCTTCAACATCTACAATAGACCCCTTGCAAGTTTGGCTCAGAGTTTCGGCCTGGACTGCTACCAATATGCAGACGATACCCAACTCCTTCTGCGCCTGGAGCCTGGAGCAACGTCAATTCCAGACAATTTCACCCTTTGTCTGGAAGCTCTGTCAAACTGGCTACGTGCTAGCAGACTGAAGGTGAATCCAGCGAAAACTGAGATTCTCTGGCATGGTCGCCCGGCAGATCTGACTCCTCCATTACCCACCTTCGATGGTGCCGCCCTATCTCCATCGACCACTGTTAAGAGCTTAGGTGTCATCCTGGATTCACAGCTGACAATGGAAGCTCAGGTCGCTGCTGCCAGCAAACAGGCCTTTTTCCATCTACGACAAGCGAGGCAACTGGCACCCTACCTATCTGATGAGGCTCTGGCAACTGTCATCCATGCCACGGTCACGTCTAGGCTAGACTATTGCAACGCCCTGTATGTGGGCCTTCCGATGTCTATGACCCGAAAGCTTCGTATTGTTCAGAATGCGGCAGCCAGGTTACTCACAAGAACACCCATGAAATGCCATATAACACCAGTGCTGCAACATTTACATTGGCTTCCAACTGAATACCGTTGCTTGTATAAGATGCTAGTTATGACCTTTAAAACTCTTTACGCCCAGGGTCCATTGTACCTTAGGGACCGCCTCTCCTTCTCCCATCATCGGAGGTCGCAACGACCAGCCCAACGTGACTTAATCCATATACCGGGTCCTAGAGAAGTGCACTTGGAAAGGACCAGGCGCAGGGCTTTTCCTATTTCTGCTCCTGCCTTGTGGAATTCCTTGCCGCCCTACATGAGAGCCATGCGTGACTTAGGGCCTTTTACTCTCGCACTTAAGACCTGGCTTTTTACTAGAGCATTGGATCTCTGTTAATTTTTAATTTTTGTATGTATGTATTTTATCTTTTATAATTTAGCTGTAAATCGCCTGGAGCATTCTCGGATGGAGGGCGATTAATAAGTTATTAAATGATGATGATGATGATGATGATACTGACGGTGGGTCCGTAGGTGACTGCACTGCTGGTCACAGCTGACCTTCAGCTGGAGCGCTCAAGGGCCAGGGCTTCCCAGTTCTCAGTGTCTATGCCAGAGTTTCTAAGGTTGGCTTTGAGCCCATCCTTATGCTATCCTTATGGAGCCCAGCTTGCTAAAGAGAGCAGAAGAAGGGAGACTCAGCAAACCCCACTGCCTCAGGGGATATCTCTGGGCAGACCCTTGTAACCTGCTTCTATCACCATATACATTGCCCTTATAATGTAAATTGAATTCGATTGTAGGCAATCCCCCAGTTATCAACATGCAACTTACAAATGACTCCTAATTAAGAACTGGGCTGAGACGACAGGAAGTGAGAGAAAGGAAGGGATATTATCTTCTGAAAGAGTTGTTTTCATGGGAGAAAGGGGTCTGCGCTGAAGATTAATTGTTTCCACAAGAAGCCTTTTTTTCAGAATCTAAAGGAAACTGCATCAGAGATGTTAACCTTTCCCTATACTATCCAAAGATAGATAGATAGATAGATAGATAGATAGATAGATAGATAGATAGATAGATAGATAGATAGATAGATAGATAGATATAGAAGAAGACAGATATATAGATGAATGATAGATAGATAGATAGATAGATAGATAGATAGATACAGATAGATAGATAGATAGATAGATAGATAGATAGATAGATAGATAGATAGATAGATATAGAGATAGATAGATAGATAGATAGATAGAGGCAGAAAGAAAGAAAGAAAGAAAGAAAGAAAGAGATAAAAAGACAGATAGAAAGATGATAGAGAGAGAGATAGAAAGAGAGAGAGAAAGAGAGAAAGAGAGAGAGAGAAAGATAGATAAATAGAGAGAGGGAGGGGGAGAGAGAGATAGAAAGAGAGAGAAAGGTAGAAAGATAGATAAATAAATAGAGAGAGAGGGAGGGAGGGAGAGAGAGAGAGAGAGAAATAAAAAGATAAAGAAAGAAAGAAAGAGAGAGAGAGAGAGATGGCTGGAGTTACATTTTTAAAGTGTACCTGTTCCAACTTACATACAAATTAAACTTAAGAACAAATCTACTGAATCACTGTGGTGGCACAGTGAGTTAAAAGTGCTGAGCTCAACCACTGAGCTGCTGAACTTGTTGATCAAAAAGCTGCAGGTTTGAATCCGGGGAGCGGCGTGAGCTCCCACTGTTAGCCCCAGCTTCTTTCAACCTAGCAGTTCGAAAACATGCAAATGTGAGTAGATCAATAGGCACTGCTCTGGTGGGAAGGTAATGGCGCTCTATGCAGTCATGCTGACCACATGACCTTAGAGGTGTCTACAGACAACACCGGCTATTTGTCTTAGAAATGGAGATGAGCACCAAACCCCAGAGTTGGACACGACTGGACTTGACAGCATTTCAGTGGAAGACTCCAGGGCCATCCAGTCCAACCCTCTTCTACCATGTAGGAAAAGTACAATCAAAGCACCCCCAGCAGATTGCCACCCAGCCTTTGTAATAATAATAATAATAATAATAATAATAATAATAATAATAGGAGAAACCCCAGGGACCATCCAGTCCAACCCTTTCTGCCATGCAACATAAGCACAATCAAAACACCCCCAACAGATGGCCACCCAGCCTTTGTAATGATAATAATAACAATAATAGCAGAAACCCCAGGGAGCATCCAGTCCAACCCCTTCTGCCATGCAACATAAGCACAATCAAAGCACCCCCAAAAGATGGCCACTCAGTCTTTGTAATAATAATAATAATAATAATAGCAGAAATGGGAGCATCCAGTCCAACCTCTTCTGCCATGCAACATAAGCACAATCAAAGCACCCCCAACAGATGGCCACCCAGCCTTTGTAATAATAATAATAATAGCAGAAACTTCAAGGACCATCCAGTCCAACCCCTTCTGCCATGCAACATAAGCACAATCAAAACATCCCCAACAGATGGCCACCCAGCCTTTGTAATAATAATAATAATAATAATAATAATAATAATAATAATAGCAGAAACCTCAAGGACCATCCAGTCCAACCCCTTCTGCCATGCAACATAAGCACAATCAAAACACCCCCAACAGATGGCCACCCAGGCTTTGTAATGATAATAATAACAATAATAGCAGAAACCCCAGGGAGCATCCAGTCCAACCCTTTCTGCCATGCAACATAAGCACAATCAAAGCACCCCCAAAAGATGGCCACTTAGTCTTTGTAATAATAATAATAATAATAATAATAATAATAATAATAGCAGAAATGGGAGCATCCAGTCCAACCTCTTCTGCCATGCAACATAAGCACAATCAAAGCACCCCCAACAGATGGCCACCCAGCCTTTGTAATAATAATAATAATAGCAGAAACTTCAAGGACCATCCAGTCCAACCCCTTCTGCCATGCAACATAAGCACAATCAAAACATCCCCAACAGATGGCCACCCAGCCTTTGTAATAATAATAATAATAATAATAATAATAATAATAATAGCAGAAACCTCAAGGACCATCCAGTCCAACCCCTTCTGCCATGCAACATAAGCACAATCAAAACACCCCCAACAGATGGCCACCCAGGCTTTGTAATGATAATAATAACAATAATAGCAGAAACCCCAGGGAGCATCCAGTCCAACCCTTTCTGCCATGCAACATAAGCACAATCAAAGCACCCCCAAAAGATGGCCACTTAGTCTTTGTAATAATAATAATAATAATAATAATAATAATAATAATAGCAGAAATGGGAGCATCCAGTCCAACCTCTTCTGCCATGCAACATAAGCACAATCAAAGCACCCTCTGAGCAATGGGAGGAAAACAGGGTTTTGGAAGCAAGGAAGGCAAGGGGGAAAGACTTTTGAGGGTGAAGGAAGTGAGGAAAAAAACTTCTTGGGATGAGGGAGGCAGGGGAAGAGCAAGGAAGAGGAGGGAAAGTTGGGAGGGGAGTTGGGAGAGGCGGAGGGAAGCACGGAGCCCCTCATTATGCTTCGTGAATCCCCAAGAGCTCCATGGAGCACACTTTGAGAACCACTGGTCTTCACTGACCATGAAACACAGTTCAAACTGCATTATAAGGCAATGTAGATGAGGCCTGGAATTACCAGATTAACCTGAATTTGAGCCCCGAGCAATCTAAGATACTGGAGATGATGTGAAAATAGGGTTCAACACCTTGGATAGTTTCTTTAAGATGCAAGCTAAAATCTAGAGTGGATTTGATGTACTGCTGAGATGGAAACCAGTAGCTAGCACTGGTATATTTCCAACCCACAGAGTTCAGGATTGAGGAGTGGTCCTTGGGATTTGTAGTCTTGCATGACTGCCCTAGGGAGCCTACACGTATCATCTGGGTGCTTAGGTACCCATTGTATTCTACCTTTTGCTTGCTTTATTTATTTATTTATTTTATTTTGGTTGCTTCTACCCCGCCCTTCTCACCCCGAAGGGGACTCAGGGCGGCTTACAAAAGCAAGGCACAATTCGATGCCCGCATCACATAACAACAATAAGACAAAATAACATCAATTAACAGAAAACAGCAATTCTAGCAAAAACATCAATTAACAGAACAACAATTCTTGCAAAGAGAAAACAACCATAAAACCAGTAAAAGCAATAAAACCAATACAAACCATTTCTCCTCATTGACGGTCAGCGTTTCGCAATCTCATAGTTCAAATTCCAATTCCACAATTGTCAGTCCTGTCAGTCCTATCCATCTGGTTGTCCATATCTAGTTGTCAGATTGCCCGAAGGCCTGGTCCCACAACCACGTCTTTACCTTCCTCCTGAAGGAGAGGAGGGATGTTGATGCCCTAATTTCCCCGGGAGTGAGTTCCACAGGTGAGGGGCCACCACTGAGAAGGCCCTGCTCCTCGTCCCCACCAACCTCACTTGTGATAGCGGTGGGGTCGAGAGCAGGGCCTCCCCAGATGATCTCAAATTCCGGGGTGGGACGTAGAGGGAGATACGTTCGGACAGATACACTGGACCGGAACCGTAAAGGGTTTTGTAGGTCAAAACCAGCACCTTGAATTGTGCTCGGAACTGAACCGGCAGCCAGTGGAGCTGACACAGCAGGGGGGTGGTATGCTCCCTGTATGTCGCTCCGGTGAGCAGTCTGGCTGCCGCTCACTGGACTAGTTGAAGTTTCCGAACAATCTTCAAGGGCAACCCCACGTAGAGAGCATTGTAGTAGTCTATTCGGGGATGCAACAAGAGCGTGGACCACCGTGGCCAGATCAGACTCCATGGTCAATAGTCATTATTATTATTATTATTATTTGACTAGTCATATGACTATTTCAAAATACAACACAAATAAAATACAAGGCAAAAAATCCTCTTTCTAATCAGCCGCCCCAAGACTAATTCCCTTAAAGAGGCAATAGAGAACATACCTCGATGCCACTTAATATCGCCTGCCAGATCTTTCCAGGGTGCGTGGAGTCCTTTGAGAAAAGGAAAGAGAACACAAATTACAGAGTATCAGGGTGACTATTCCATACGAGCATCCAGCGATGAGCTAAGCCATTTGATAAAATGTTTTCATGGAGAAATGGAGACCATCACTGGCCACTTTCTCCTCATTCCATGTACAGAAGGAACAGGAAGGTGAGCTGAACCTTATTTTAGGAAAGGTAATGGAGAGGCACCCTGGTCTACTACATTTAAAGTAGGAAGACTTGGGGACTGCAAATCAGAACCCAAGGTAGACTCCATTCTGGCCCTCAAAAACTGTCTGCCAATCTCTGCTCTTTCTCTCTAATTTTGGGGCACATCGGCCTTGCAAAGTGGCTTACAAGAATGTAAAAACAAAGACACAGACTAATAATAATAATAACAATAATAATAATAATAATAATAATAGGATTTAAAGATTGAACTGCAAAGACTCTGGCACAAGCCAGGCAAGGTATTTGCTTCATTTTTATACCGCATTTTTCAGCCCTTAACAGGCGACTCAATGCCCTTAACAGGTAGTCTTAACAGGCGACTCAATGCCCTTAACAGGTAGTCCCAGTGGTGATTGGCACACTGGGTGAAGCGCCTAAAGACCTTGGCCTGCACTTAAACACAATCGGCGCTGACAAAATTACCATCTGCCAGTTGAAAAGGCCACCTTACTGGAATTTGCACACATTATTCGCCGATACATCACACCGTCCTAGATGTTCTCAAATAAAATGCTGTGTCCAGGTTGGTTCATCAGGTGCTCTGCTATGGCTGACTTCTCTGGTTGGAGTAGTCTGCAGTGCCTTTCATGTTTCTTGATTTGGATTCTTGTTTGGGCGCTGCGTTTGGTGGTCCCTATGTAGACTTGTCCACAGCTGCCTGGTATACGGTAGACTCCTGCAGAGGTGAGAGGATCCCTCTTGTCCTTTGCTGAACGTAGCATTTGTTGGATTTTCTTGGTGGGTTTGTAGATTTTTTGTATTCCATACATGAAAGGCACTGCAGACTACTCCAACCAGAGAAATCAGCCATAGCAGAGCACCTGATGAACCAACCTGGACACAGCATTTTATTTGAGAACACAAAAATGCTGGACCACTCTCACAACCACCATGTCAGACTACACAGAGAAGCCATTGAAATCCACAAACATGTGCACAATTTCAACAGAAAGGAAGAAACCATGAAAATGAACAAAATCTGGGTACCAGTATTAAAAAATTCTAAAATTGCAACAGAAAAACCGCAGAGAGAAAAACAGGCAGGGACATCTAATCACCTTTCAAGAAGAGTTTGCTCCAGGCACAGTCAGCCCATTGTATGCTAATCAAGGTGGTCAGTTGAAAGATTCACACCTAGCCCAACTTACAAAGCCCTTTGTCTCACCCTGGTCATTCCACAGATATATAAACCCCTTTTTTCCTAGTTCCAACAGACCTCACTACCTCTGAGGATGCTTGCCATAGATGCAGGCGAAACGTCAGGAGAAATGCCTCTAGAACATTGCCATATAGCCCAAAAAAAACCCACAAGAACTGAGCAATGAAAATAATTTTATGGTTGGGCGTCACCACAACACGAGGAACAGACCTCATGGGCCATCCAGTCCACCCTCCTGCCAAGAAGCAGGAATATTGCATTCAAAGCACCCCTGACAGATGGCCATCCAGCCTCTGTTTAAAAGCTTCCAAAGAAGGAGCCTCCACCACACTCCGGGGCAGAGAGTTCCACTGCTGAACAGCTCTCACATTCAGGAAGTTCTTCCTAATGTTCAGATGGAATCTCCTTTCTTGTAGTTTGAAGCCATTGTTCTGCGTCCTAGTCTCCAGGGCAGCAGAAAACAAGCTTCCTCCCTCCTCATTATGACTTCCTCTCACATATTTATACATGGCTATCATATCTCCTCTCAGCCTTTTCTTCATCAGGCTAAACATGCCCAGCTCTTTAAGCCACTCCTCATAGGACTTGTTCTCCAGACCCTTGATCATTTTAGTCACCCTCCTCTGGACACATTCCAGCTTGTCAATATCACTCTTGAATTGTGATGCCCAGAATTGGACACAATATTCCAGGTGTGGTCTTCAATCTAAACATGCCCAGCAATTTAGGCCGCTCCTCAAAGGTCTTGTTCTCCAGACCCTTGATCATTTTAGTTGCCCTCCTCTGGACACATTCCAGCTTGTCAATATCTCTTGTCAATATATTTTAAACCCTTTGTGCCTTCAGAAATCAAGGCATCTAGAAAGCTTAGGAAAATGGGAACGGTTTTAGCCCTTACCAAACTTTTCACATTCATAAAGGCAGTCAAGGAGAGTAGCAAAGTTATTTTTGTTTCCGCCGCATCCGCTGTAAGTGAAGGTCCGGCACATGCTTTTCTTGTGATCATAGTAGAAGTTTTGAAATGATTCTTTGCACCTTCCATATCTTGGGGGGCGTTTACACCATCTAGGCATAGTTTCTGGGAGATAGAGGAGGAGAAAGAAAGAAACAAAGCCGTGGCTCATACACTCTCATCTCATCTTTTTGGCAATGAAGACACTATAGCATTAGAAATAATAGAAGAAACAATACATGGGGAACAATCGGAAATTCTCAAATGGGGTGCAAAGTTGAATTGATTGCAATTACTGGGAAATGCACCAAGGGCAAATCTAGACTGACTAAGCAATGTGGAAGTAAATCAGTAGAGGTGGGTGCAAGGAGTCAGGATGCAAAGACAGCTTAAAATCCAACACCCAGAACCTGAACCACTTGAGACATGAAATGAGAAATTTCCCTTGACTAAGGCTCTATTCACATCCTGAATAGATTACTGCAATGTGCTCTATGTGGGGTTGCCTTTGAAGACTGTTCGGAAATTGCAATTAGTCCAACGGGCGGCAGCTAGATTACTCACCAGAGCATCATACAGGGAGCATACCTCCCCCCTGTTATGTCTATGTCCCACTTTGGAGGACTCAGGGTAGCTTCCAATTGGCAACAATTTGATGCCGCATAATAAATACAAAACACCAATAATTATAATAGTTAAAACATTAAAACAATATACAGTACTACGGAGCTATTACCAGTCTGGTGGTAATTACCTAGCCGAATTCTGTGACTGAGTACTCCATTTAGCTTATCCATAATCCATTTCCAAGCCATTGTCAACACTGTCATTGTCCTTTCCGCCTAATTACCTGAAGGCCTGGTCCCACATCCATGTTTTTAACTTCTTTCTAAAGGAAAGGAGGGATGTCAATAATCTAATTTCACTGGGGAGTGAATTCCACAAGTGGGGGCCACCACCGAGAAGGCCCTGTCTCTCATCCCCGCCAAGCACATTTGTGACAAAGGTGAAGCCGAGAGCAGGACCTCCCCAGAAGATCTTAAACTCCGAGGTGGAACATAGGAGATACTTTCAGACATTAAGTATCAGTAGTGGCTGATAAGGTATTGTGAGCTGCATCACAACACTAGCAATGGAGGACTCGGGGTTCTCCTTACCACCCAACACACACACAATGCAAATGGATGGATCTCCAGAACAACTGTCCTTTAATTGGTTTCACCATATGATGTGGTTTACAATCATCTATGCTTGCTGATGGAGCCCGCGGTGGCGCAGTGGATTAAAGCACCGAGCTGCTGAGCTTGTTGATCGTAAGGTCGCAGGTTCGATTCCGGGGAGCGGCGTGAGCTTCCGCTGTCAGCCCTAGCTTCTGCCAACCTAGCAGTTCGAAAACATGCAAATGTGAGTAGATCAATAGGTACCGCTACGGCGGGAAGGTAACGGCGCTCCATGCAGTCATGCCGGCCACATGACCTTGGAAGTGTCCACGGACAACGCTGGCTCTTCGGCTTAGAAATGGAGATGAGCACCACACCCCAGAGTCAGACATGACTGGACTTAATGTCAGGGGACTACCTTTACCTTTACCTATGCTTGCTGATAAGCATTACAGGGCCTATTTTTATTTATTTATTTATTTATTTATTTGCAGTATTTATATTCCGCCCTTTTCACCCCACAGGCATTGAATGTTTGCATTCAGTGGCAAACATTCAATGCCTGCGGGGTGAAAATGCAAACATTCAATGCCATAGACACACAACACATATAGACAGACAGTCTGAGGCTATTTAACATTCCAACTTTCCTGGCCACCAGGGGAGCTGTTGCTTCACCGTCCATCTGCGACACTGATGAAGTACTTTCCGCATTCCCCGCATGCTTTTGCTGGAGACTTTTTATGGCCTCATAAATTTTGTTTAATTAGTCCATCTATACATAAAAAGTAAAGGTAGTCCCCTGACATTAAGTCCAGTCATGTCTGACTCTGGGGTGTGGTGCTCATCTCCATTTCTAAGCCGAAGAGTCAGAGTTGTCCGTAGACACCTCCAAGGTCATGTGGTCGGCATGACTGCATGGAGCGCCCTTACCTTCCCGCCGGAGCGGTACCTATTGATCTACTCACATTTACATGTTTTCGAACTGCTAGGTTGGCAGAAGCTAGGGCTGACAGCGGAACCTCACGCCGCTCCCCGGAATTGAACTTGCGACCTTTTGATCAACAAGTTCAGCAACTCAGTGCTTTAACCCACTGCGCCACCAGGGGCCCCAAACATAGGTAGTACCTAAATTTCCTACTTGACAGGTGCAACTCTCTTTCAGGTTGTAAAGGTCAACAACAAGCTTCACAATTGGCCGAAAGCTCCTTCCGACCTGGGCTGGCTTCGAACTCATGACCTTTCGGTCAGTAGTGATCTTTAATGCAGCTGACACCCAGCCAGCTGCGCCACAGTCCTGGTGCAGTATTTTGGAGTATTTTGGGATTTTGCTTCTCCTGGTTTAAGGCCTCAAAGGTGCATTTCTGCTCACATTTGCACCGTGTTTACAATTCACATTAAGTGGTCAGTGTAGATGTGCCCAGATGCAAGAGGCTGTAATGAATAAATGTGATGAGAAGAAGAGGAGAGAACCAATATAGCATATGAGGTATGAAGTTTCCAGTATTTCTTAAAATCAGTCATAACCTTACCTATTTTGGCAACAACACCAGGCAGCATAGACCAAGATATGATGGAACCCATAGTGAAGACAAAGATGGCGATGTCCCCGCAATGCATGATGTCTGTTTGATGGTGGTGCTCGTACTTTAGACAGTGTGCAACAGGAAAGGAAAGAGAGGCAAAAAAGATGAAGAATGTGTTGTTAGGACATCAAAAAACAAAGTGTGAATGAGTAGGAACATGCTGAAACAGTTCTGTTCTGTTCAAGGTTTCTTTTTGATTGGAATAGATACTATTCTCTTTCATCTAAGGACACCGAGAAACTATAAAGTCAATTAGCGTAATCTTGAGATAGCCAGAAAATGGTGTTTACAAAGTGGCTGTTTCTTTCATGCATATAACCACCAGGGACAGAGAGTTTCATCTATGCTGATGATCGTGCCATCAATACTCAAGCAGGGAGCTTTGAGACGGCAGAACAGAAGCTTTCCAAAGCTCTAGGTCAGTGGTTCTCAACCTGGGGTCCCCAGATGTTTTTGACCTTCAACTCCCAGAAATCCTAATAGCTGGTAAACTGGCTGGGATTTCTGGGAGTTGTAGGCCAAAAACATCTGGGGACCCCAGGTTGAGAACCACTGCCTAGGTGCTCTTACTGCCTATTACAGGGAAAACCAGCTGATCCCCAACACATCCAAAACACAGACATGTGCCTTTCATCTCAAGAACAGACAAGCATCCCGAGCTCTGAAGATCACCTGGGAAGGAATCCCACTGGAGCATTGCAGCGCACCCAAATACCTGGGAGTCACTCTGGACCGTGCTCTGACCTACAAGAAGCACTGCCTGAACGTCAAGCAAAAAGTGGGTGCTAGAAACAATATCATACGAAAGCTGACTGGCACAACCTGGGGATCACAACCAGATACAGTGAAGACATCTGCCCTTGCGCTGTGCTACTCTGCTGCTGAGTATGCATGCCCAGTGTGGAACACTAAAACAGTGGATGTGGCTCTTAATGAGACATGCCGCATTATCAAGGGGTGTCTGCGCCCTACACCACTGGAGAAATTACACTGCTTAGCCGGTATCGCACCACCTGACATCCGCCAGGAGGTGGCAGCCAATAGTGAAAGGACCAAGGCAGAGACATCTCCAGTTTATCCCCTGTTTGGGTATCAGTCAGCACGTCAACGACTTAAATCCAGACATAGTTTTCTAAGATCTAAAGAGACACTCGCTGGAACACCTCAGCAAGCGAGAGTCCAAAAGTGGCAGGCTCAAACCCAGAACCTCAACCAATGGCTGATACCAAATGAGAGACTCCACCCTGGGCACACAGAGGACTGGGCGACTTGGGAGGTGCTGAACAGACTGCGCTCTGGCACCATGAGATGCAGAGCCAACCTTCAGAAATGTGGCTACAAAGTGGAATTCTCGACATGCGAGTGTGGAGAAGAGCAAACCACTGACCACCTGCTGCAATGCAACCTGAGCCCTGCCTCATGCACAATGGAGGACCTTCTTGCAGCAACACCAGAAGCACTCCAAGTGGCCAGATACTGGTCAAAGGACATTTAATCAACTACCAAACTCACAAATTTTGTATTATGTCTGTTTGTTTGCTTTGTTCTGTTAGAAATGTAATATAACTGACTGGCTGCCTTGACACGAGAAATAAAATAAACCACCTACCCTTTCCTTTGGGTATTTTTATTGATTGCAATTTGTTATTGTCTGTCCTACCTTGCCAACAAAAAGTAAAAGAAATGGCACTCAAGGCAAGTAATAATTAAACCGGTAAATCCAGAACAAACCATTACTTCAGCCCCATGTAAATAGCTGGGTCAGTTCCAAGACGGGGTGGTGCTCACTGTCCATCCCCTCATTGTTCTCCTTTTCATAGTAACCAACAGCTGCAACATAATTCACGCCAGTGTCTTGTCGCCTGGAGTGATGCTGGTCGGAACAACAAAGTGATCAGAGGAGGGAGAGAAGGAGAGAGAAGGGGTGATCCCTCCTCTCCCCCCCCCCCCCCCCGGCATCACCCTGGTGCCACAACTGATGTTACACCAGATAACCAGTAACAGACATGAGCTATGTTACATCCAGTGGTTGCCGTAAAGAAGAAAAGGGAGCGGGGACAGTAAGACTCCCATGTTGTTTAATATCTACATGAAGCCGCTGGGAGAGATCATCCGGAGTTTCGGGGTGCGGTGTTATCTGTACGCAGATGATGTCCAACTCTGTCACTCCTTTCCACCTGCTACTAAGGAGGCTGTCCAGGTCCTGAACCGGTGCTTGGCCACTGTGACGGTCTGGATGAGGGCGAACAAATTGAAATTGAATCCAGACAAGACAGAGGTACTCCTGGTCAATCGTAAGGCCGAACAGGGTATAGGGTTACAGCCTGTGTTGGATGGGGTCGCACTCCCCTTGAAGACGCAGGTTTGCAGCTTGGGTGTGATCTTGGACTCGTCGCTGAGCCTGGAACCCCAGGTTTCAGCGGTGACCA